ACAGCTTCTGGTAAAAGGCTTATTCTCCGTTCACCTCTTATCACAAGTCCGACTCTTTCTTATTTCGCCAGTCAAAGAAATAATGGCCGTGCCAATGTATTCCTCAAACTAGAAAATTTATTGCCCACTGGTTCGTTTAAGATTAGGGGCATGGAAAACGTTTGCAGGAAAGTAAGTCTTGTCATTACTTCTTTATTGTCAATATGTCTAACTTCTACTTTTAGCTTGCTCTATCTGGACCATACTCACACGTGGTCTGCCCTAGCAATGGAAATGCTGGCGTCTCTGCAGCTGTCGCTGCGCATGCTTACGGACTAGGCTGCACCGTTATTGTCCCCGAGACGGAGGCTGGTACGGATGAGGCCTCAACTAGACGTCGACTTGCCTTGGAGGCGCCTCAGGCCAAACTTTTGATAGCTCCAGGATCGGGTGCTAAGTGGACAGAATCTTTTGTTAAAGCCGAACAGCTAGTCTCTGAAAGAAACAGCTCTCTGAGTAGTCATAACGGTGAAACAATTGGGTTGACAAAGCTTGTACATCCTTTTGATTCTAGTGATTTGTGGGAGGGGTATGAGTCGATTATTGAGGAGCTTGCAGCCGACCTGGGCCAACCAGATGCAATAGTTGTCTCTGTCGGTGGCGGGGGTTTGCTTGCCGGTATCATACAGGTATTTACCCTTTGACTGGTTTTTGAATTCTCCTTTTCTTTCATAACTATTCTTTATTCTGATTCAGGGTCTGTGGAACCAGGGCTGGCAGACAACCCATGTTATCACAGCGGAAACTGATGGTGCTGATTGCTTGGCACAATCGCTTAGGTTGGGCCATGTTGTTCCAAACATGCGATGCTCGTCTATTGCCACCTCTCTTGCTGCTTCTTATCCTGCTCCGCGTGCTCTTAGCCTTGCTCAATGCCACCAGGCACTAACTGCATATACTTGCTCTGACGCTAGTGCTATCGACGCAATAAAAAGGTTTGCAGGTAAGAGGCCTAATTATGCCTTTTCCCCTTAAAGTAAATAATTGACGCGCTAAAGGACTCTTGCTTCTTTAGATGATCATGGTATGCTGGTAGAGCCGGCCTGTGGAGCTGCCCTTTCCGCAGTCTACTCAGGTGTCATTGGACGGTTGCAAGCTGAAGATCGCTTACCGCGTGTTGTCACAGTCGTTGTTCTTGTTTGTGGCGGCCGTACATCACTCTCCCTTCAGCAAATGCAAGTTTGGGATAAAATGACTAGACATAGTTCGGATGCTGCTGTGAGTGGGGTCGACAGTGTTCTTCCTTTGCATCATCCCGGCACGTTATTTGAAGCCGGTGCTCGGCATAATTTTGCACACTTGAATTCAAACGCTGTACAGGCCTCTCATCAACATGCCGACTTGAATGAGACCTTAAAACTATCCGATCTTACCTTGGGTGATTTATCACGCACTGGTTTTTCATCCAATCATTTCAGTCCGACTGCTAATCTCACCTCTACAGCACTTCGTTTAAATGGTTTTCACCTTGGAGCTCCCGCGACCCAACATTACTCTCACATTCTCACGACGGGTCAACTTGGTCAACAGCGTCAGCGAAACGGCTCGATTCATTCCACCGCTTCATCAATTCACTCTTCTTCTGCTGACTCTGGAAAGGATACAGCGTGTACTACCGGAAGCACGAACGGTGGAATTGTCAGCAATGGTGGGAATAACCTCCCCCTGCATCCGGACACTCTGGTCAACTTGGTCGGGTTGCTGTCAACTGGATCTATTGAGAATGATTCCCACGTTTCCCATCGCCAGGACGATTGTATAATAAATGCCAAAGAGGCTCTGTCAGCGCAGGCCGAGCTCAATCACATTAGAACAGATAAGCTAGTGAATGATATATTGAATAATGGTGTAGCGGATGATGATCAAGCTTTTTCTACTGATTCCTCAGTCCATCTTGCTCTTGAGGACAAACATTAGACTTTTATTACATTTTAAAACTTGCATTTTCAGTCCTTAGTTGGTCCAAGATATCCTTTATTTAAATCTTCGCGGTTATCTGTTTATTCAGCTGTTTGACTGTCTTGATTCGTTGATTTGTTTGCCAGTCTGTGACAGTTTTCCACTGGCACTTGTTTTAGCTAGTGAAGCACAGCTCTTATCAGCCAAAATCGCTCCGCCCATTAAAGGTATTCGGTTCTTTTAGCTACATTAGGATAACTCAATACTCAATCCGAATCTGACTCGCTTTCTCGTTTTCTATTTTCTTTGGTTGTGTACTTCTTAAAGTAGATTGCTAGTCTTTTTTCTCATTTTCTTATGAATACGTTATTTTCATTTACTTTATCATATCGAGAAAGATTTTTCTCATGACTTTTATTTCACTATCGTCTCACTTTGTTAGCCTGTGTCGCATTGGCGGCATTATTTATTTTTATCAGACTTGATGCTGTTTACATAGATGCTTATATTGGATTATGCAGCTTTTTGAGGCTTTCTTTAGGATGCCAAGATCCTTCACATTTCACCTATTCTGTATTGAATATCACAGCTGAGGTCTTATCTAGATGGCAGTTTTAGCGTTCAATTATTTTTACCTTGTACTATCCACTGCACGCTTAATCTCGCCCTATTTCCCTCTACTTGATTAGGTAAAACCATACTAGTCCACGTAAGCGTTCGAGCGTGCATTTATTCTTCGGATACTGCTTGTTTTGTTTTTTTTATTTCGCCCTGCTAGTTTTTTTCTATTTATCCTTGACATTCCATAGCTCATTTGTGTCCACGCCATTCCATCCTCTTCCATGACATCCAAGTCATCAAAGTTTTTCCCATAGTTTTTCTGTTTCCTTTAATCCATCATCAAAGCTAGCGTGAATCGCTGTTCATCTTACTTTGGGGTCAAATTATTTTTTTATACAGAAGGCTGTTTTCACAGATAACGAATCAGGTTGTTACCTGTTGTCCCAAAATTAGTATGCCCAAGTGACTTAAATTCATCAAGCAACAATTTTTATATTTTGTCGTCATATCTTTATTCTTTTAGTGTAATATATCTATCTAGTGTGTTTTTATCTTAGGTATCGCCCAAGTGACTTTGTATTTTCAGAGCGTCCATGCATAAAATATTTGCATACATGGCAAAAGGTTTCACTGGCCGCCTTTGCGAATTTGCTTTCGTAGATTTAAAAAAATCATAGCTCAGAGTTTAGTGTTGCATTTCACCTTGAAGCGTTTCCTTAATACGATTATTTAACTCCGAGCTCATGCTCTATTTCATTAATCACTGACTTTGTCACGATGCACCGCATAACTTCCAATCGATTTGTTTTTTTAATAATTGCTATTACTAATTTACAGTTATTTTGCGTCGTTTCTTTTCGAAATTACCGATTGAAAAGATAACGATATTTACATTATCCGTCAGGTCTATTTTATCTATTTTTGATTGGCTTTGTTTCTTGCCACTGTTTTACTTGAGTATTTCCTCTTCGTTACTTTCGTACTTGTTGCTACAAAGGTTATACACGCCCATACTTTGGTCATGAAGTGGCCTGTCAAAAATATTATTAACTATTCTATCCTCCACATCCGGTGCTTAGCGCGTGGGCCAATTACTTGTTCAGGCCTTATCGCGACCTGCTCAATAATCGAGCAATCAAAGCGGGGTCTTCAAGCCCTCGGCCACTCCGCTCAACCCGTCCCGAGTGTTACTTCTATCATTCACACATAAACTAACGCATACATGCCTCCATAGAGCATTCGCCTCTACATGCATAGTGCCTTTGTACGTCGTTATGTCGACGCTGCTCTCATTTCATTCACAAGTGACTAGCGAGTACCTAATAGCTTGTTTTGTTTATTTCATCATTGGGTCGAGTCGCCAAGCTGCCACTGCGTTGTTGCCATTTACTCTGGTTTTGTTCCTTCGAACTTTCTTGGCATATGTACCACTTGGCTAAAATTAACTTAATGACAATTCGTTTGATAGTCATAGCTTCAATTTCAATCTCAGTCTCTTGCCTCATTAAAAAACAAAACTTCTTTTCAATGTTTTATTTTTTATGAATTTATTAAATATGCCTATTATTTGCTCTTTTTCCTAATTGCATATCCCAACAGTACCAGATGGCTTACGTTTTGTAAAGAAAACTTGAGCTTCAAAAGATATCGTTTCATGTAACTTCTGCCTTTTTAAAAAAAATGCAAGATGCGCCATTTGTAAACATGAACTATTAAATAAATTGTTTGACCTTGTTTTCGCAACTTGGTCATATTGGTAGGAAGACTAACAGGAAAGCACCTTGTCCTGAGTCCATTGTATGGATAATTATTTTCAAAGTCGGACCGTGGGCGCGGTACATTCCCAGACGTTTCGCCGGCATCGTCAGTGAGTTTTACCATTCGTAGCACCATGTTACAAA